TAATTTTTGCAATGACTCACTTTACTAAGCCGTCATAACAAGAATATAACTCATCTAGCACATGGTTACGGGCACGTTAGGAAGCAGTAGTAAGTTGGTATAACGAGATTTTATGGTGTTAGTGTTACTAAGAGCAGCATCCACACTACTGTGAATGACCTGGAGACACAAGTACAGTATTTAATTCTAAAAAACACCTGTCTCCTTTTTTATATCCTTAACCAAACCTGATTTCCTAACAACACTTTGCGTTTTAGAACTCAGAAAAAAAACAAATTCACACAGTTCATTTTACCGCGTGCCATTGTTTCACGTCACTGGTTAGCACGTGATGCCAGTGCGAAGCACGATAACGTGCAAAACACCGGAAAGGCCTACCTTGGCAAAATGCAGAAGCCCATCGATGGCTCATTATGAGCTTGAAGGTCAGGTTCACATAGGTATCCACGTAGTCGCCAATGATCATGTCACCGAACTCGTCTGCCTCCGCCAACACTCTCTCTCGAGCCTCAGTTGCCCGCCGTGCCCATTCCCCTGCCTTAGCACCCACATTCTCTGGCAATCGAATGTCGAAGCCACCGTTCATGTGGAATAGATTGCCTGCCACATCGGCCCGCAGTTGCTCCAGTGCGAACACAACACGAATACGACCTGGCAGATTGCGATACGCCTCAAGAATTCGTCTCCGCTCCTCGAAGTGGTATGGCGCAGATTTGTAGATAACCACAAGGTCGTAGACGTCCTTCGAGTCCTGGTCGTGAGGTGCACAGGCAGTGCGACTGGTGCGAATGAGTTTGATGTTAGGATTGGTGATTAGGGCCTGTTCTATACCGAGGGACGAAGATGTCAAATCGACATCAAACTCTTGTTTAAGTGTTGATCATCTCGCGGCTGTCTTGCACACAGCTCATCCTTGACACACACGGTCATGCCTGGTGTGCCCAACTCAACCACGTTTACCTAAAGTAGATTCCAGAAGCAGCTGGAACGTTTGATAAAATATGCTAAAATGCCGAGTGCAGTTTGAATGATTTTGAAGACAGTG